TCTGCTCATAAACAGCTCCCAGAATCCCCAAAGCATCACTCCTTCAACCGCTGGATGAGCAAACGCTTCCCACAGCATCACCTCAAGATCGTCTCCTCTGATATGTTCATTGATTGAGGATACATCGAGTTCCGTGAACCAGATCGGTAACCCAAGTGTGCTTAGCTTGTCTAGTGCAGAACGGACTATGTGACCAACAGGACTCGCTATATGTCCTTGAATCCCGATTCCTCCCACAGGGGCACCCTTTTTTTGCAACTTGTGAACGAGTTTTATGTACTTCTCGGGCGATGACCTCGAGTCAAACCCGTCTTCTATGTGATATTCATTGAGAAACAGAGTCGCTAACGGGTCTAACTCGTGTGCGGTCTTGAACATTTTTGCTCTTGAATCAGCGCCTAGTCGATCTCGATAGAATGATCCGTGGAGCATTTCATTGTTCACATCGTAGTGTCTGAATTTCCCATTGTAACGGGTAAGAAGATCAGTTACGCGGTTCTCAACCGCTGCTTCTAGCTCGGAGTCGCTCAGCTGTTGGACCCATGGTTGAATAGCTGATTCGACCTCCCAGAATATGCAATGGCCTCGGGTTTCTATGTTGTACTTCTCGCAGAATCCGAGCATCACATCCGCGTCCCGGTAATTGAAGTTGCCTTGCTCTGGCTCTGTCCAGTACCATTTCAGCTCGTTACCAAACACTGCCCACTTGAAATTGTTGAGAAAGAAATCGACAAAGTCTTCGTTATCTATGTTGCTTCGACTAATGCATGACCCGAGTGGGAAACTATTATGCGTTTGTCTGATCTTCACTGTTGCACCAGACAATTCGCTAGGATCTAAACCTGAGATTCTGAGGCGAACATTGCGTTTACGAACCTGCATAATAGGGAAAGAGCATTGGCGTAAAGTGAAGTTTCATTTTTAGTTCCAAACATTTTGGAAGCTACAACAAGTAAAATGTAGGTTACCACATCAGCTTGTCCTCTGAGATAACTCAATCGTGCCTTATGATCAACAGCGAAAATCTGGAGACCTGCAACCATAAGATCAACACCAGGAGACGGCCCCTGGACATGAAGCATAACTTCTTTTGCTTGCTTCTCGATTCTAAACGAACCTACAACTTCATGCCAATCGCCATCATTGACCTCAACTTTTCCTCCATTAACCCATTTACCATCAACACTGAGTGCGATATTCACGTCCTGTGGACAAGTTAGTCCTCCTGAGCCAATTTTAACCCAAGCTGAGACCTGGTATGTTAAAAACAGCTTCACTTTGTCAGTTATCATCTGAGCAGGGCCCATCCATGTTCCACTTCGGTTTGTTGCAATCACGAATAGTCCGGATAGATACCCATGTGTTGTTCTAAGTGAGTCTCTCGCCAACGGAGGTAATATCCTAGGAGAGCCTTCTTCAACTCTTAAATGGCAGTCTCCAAGAGGGAACCAACCTTCGATTGTTCCATCGCTTAGGTGGCTATTCGAAACTATGTTCATTCCAAAAGCATGACTCTGTATAAAAATGAAACAATTTATGTATCATTAAATATAAGGAGACGGCAAATGTTAAAAGAACAAGAGACTCTATATGTCTAACCTCGATATATGGTCGTCTTGAAGGAGTTCTTTTCTCTGCAGGCTTTACAACAAAATGGTCGATAAAAACATCTATCCCTGGTGGGGGTCCTTCAATGTAAACAACTGCTTTAGCTGGAGGTCCATTTAAGAGGAATTTCCCTTTCAACTTTGCCCAATCATCGTGGTTTGCCTGAACACTTGATAAAAGGAACAAACTTTCTTCAACATTGTTTGATCAGATGATAAATTGGGTACAAGACTCACACTTTCAGTACCATTTGGTAAAAACAAAAACAGAAAGTCACTGCAAAGCTCACCTGGAAATGCCTATGTACTCTTCACGTTGGTCAAGGTATTGAACATACAAAGAGGCCTGCACGGTGTGATGGCTATGCGATAGTCGAACAACAGAAGATGCTTCATAAATGTGTTTTCGCTGGACTCTTTCTGTTATATCCTGCTCAATTCCGCTCCACTTATGTGTGCGCTCTGTTGCAGAAGCAAAACATGTTCCAGAATGTGGTTGTATCTTCCCATCAGCTAGAGACTCATGTAGCATAAGATTGCATCCTCTTCCAGACCAATGATTAAGGCCATCGGAAAAGCTTGAATTCAGGAAGATTTGATGATGAGCTTCAGGAGCTGGACAGAGTTCTCGGCTTCTCTGGAAATAATAAGGCAAAGTGAAGTAACATATCAAATTACTGAACATTGCCTTAAGATATCAAGAAGGCAAAGAAGAGAACGTATGATACAAATCATACATATATCATGTAAATCTACTCTCAGTCTCTCTGTGTAACAGTCCACAATATGTCAGTTACCTCAAACTGATTATCGCTTTCGCAATGGATGGTGACAGACTTTATAAGAAGGTCGATCCCAGGAGGTGGCCCTTCCAAGAAGAATACAACACGGTCATGTCTTCTTGATAATACAAAAGTGCCTTCAAGAGTTTTCCAAACATCTTTCGAAGCATAAGTTCTGCAGATAAAAACATTATCAGTGTCAGCATTTCTGGGCCTTCTTACTAAATCTATAAAAAAGATGTCATGTGGTTCCATTACTTTCCAATTAGTTGAAATTCAGTTGCTGAGTTTTGGTGCTCTAATTTCAAAGTGGCCAAGACCTGGGCCGACCCTAGAACAGGTCCCGATACGCTAACACTAGCAGAGACTTTATATGAATAACCAGGGGAAACTCTCTCTGTGATATCTTGCTCCAGTCCTTGCCAGGTTTCACTGCGGTTGTTAACAACCGCATATGATTCTAAGTTACAGTCGTTGCTGCTAACGACAAATGAATCACAACAGTTGGAATTCCAAGAATACAACCCGTCAGAGAAATCATGGTTCTTAATGATATTCAAAGCAGGAGGAAAGACACTGGAAGCTGCTGTGTTTTCCTCGGTTTCCTGCAGTGAAATAGCAAGCATCAAAATGTTAAAACAGGAGCTGCTAAAGCTCGTCGGTTTCCTGTAACTGGATACAGTTTTAGAATCAGATGAACCGGGTGAGCTAATAGAATTTTAACTTCTTTCTCTCTATTTCAAACAGCTGATATACAATTGCATGATCACACAACCAGAATTAACAAAATTGTTTAAACTCGTACACAAGATACTTGATTCTATCTCCGGCTTCAGTTACATATCTATCACTCATCCAAAGGATTTTATTCTCTAATTATTCCCTTACTCATATCCAAAAATTGGGTGGTATAAGAAAGGTATGAGGTTTACCTTGAAGTCACTAGAAGTGGAGGATCTAACAGTAACTGAGCGTATCAGGAGATCTTTCCCTGGAGCAGGACCTTCCAAATAGAAAACAACACGGTCGGGCATATTTGATATCGAGAACTTTCCTTCTAGATCAATCCACTTGTCTCTTGAGGCATATGTTCTACAAGCAAGTAAGTCTCAGTTCATCAGAAATCTGTACAAAACATAAATCAAATTCCAATATATATAATCATCAAACCGTACTTTCCGATGAACAAATAATCGGTAGGCGAGTCTTCATGCTCGAGCCTCACAGTGGCAATAACCTCAGCTGAATCATGGAAAGGACCAGCCACACCGACACAAGCTGAAACAGTATATGTAATACCAGGAGAAACCTGAGTTGTAATGTCTTGTTCAAGTCCTTGCCAAGTTTCTTTCCTATTAGATACAACGGCATAACCACCAGAGCTCGTGGATTCAGACATTGAATCTGAGCTAAATGGGTCAGAGGAAACAACAAATGCTTCACATCCATTTGGGTACCAAGATTCAATCCCAGCAGAGAAGTCACCGTTCATAACGATGTTAGAATCCGCCATGATCGTGGTCTGTACTGGAAACGAGCAAATGGGTATCAATCTAAATCGAATACAGGACAAAAGCTTGATGATGAATTGGAAATTAGTACCCAAGAAAAAAAGTCGATTAAAAATCTCACCTTT